TGCCAATAATGTTTTTTGCCTTTAATGTATGCTTGTTTATACTAATGTGCATTTCTGTTTGGCAGTTGGCCAGCTATGTGTATCCATGGAGACAAGAGTCAGCCGGAAAGAGATTGGGTGCTTAATGGTGAGTCCAGTTAATAGGGGCAGAATAACTTGGGCTGCTGTACAGTGTTCACTGCTTCACTGCAGTGCCCTTTTCTGCAGTCTCTCTTTTCTTTCTTTCTTTCTTTTTTTTTTCTCCTCTCTCTTTTTTTTCAGTACTTCATAAAAGTTGCATAAATTTCCAAATAATTTCTTTTGCCTTTGTACTGCTAATTTCAGTATTTGTATCTGCCTTTTTTTTTTTTTCCCCCTGACAAAAATGCAATGCAAACCTAAAACTACTTAACACATGATAAACAGATTTTGAAAAACAGTTGACAGTATATATGCTGACTTGCTGGGGGTTCTGTACTTGACTCATCTCACCTATATTCTGGAGAATGAGCATTTAGCATAAATCAGGTTTGGATGACTCTATTTTTTTTGAAGTCTTGCTTCATAGTGTACTTTGTCTTACAGAATTCCGTTCTGGAAAGGCTCCCATCCTCATTGCTACCGACGTTGCATCTCGTGGGCTAGGTTTGTACCTATAGACCACTCTTGCCTACTGCTGCATATTTTTCTTCTTTGGACTGAAATATGTTTTTTTTTTTAAAAAAAAAAAATCAAAGCGTGATTTTCCCCCACATGTGAAATACGTTTTTTAACATTAATCTTTTTTTTTTCTTTCATATTCAAAGTCTCTTCCTGCTCCTAATGAACAGGCTTTGGTCTGCAGCAAGGCCTAGGCATGACTAATCGATCGCCAAGAGGGAGAAGAGACGTCCAATTATGCAACCCAATCCTTCCACCACACTCACTTCTTCCCCAAATCCGGCTTTTGTTGCTGGATGATAGGGATGGATTGCTCTCAGTTCAGAGGGTATCAGCTAAAGTTGAAATAGCAAGTCTATAGAGCAGTTCAACAGAAAATAATTATTTTCCCCTGTATGCTACATCACATATTTGCAGATACAAACCCCAGTGTGCACACATGTTTACCCAGCGGATGTATTCACATCTGAGAAAGCACTGCTCCAGATCTTTGGTCTTGACATATAGTCTTCCCTCCTCTGTGTTCCTTCTAGGCAGGACCACTGAGACTTATATAAGTCCTTTAGCATAGTGCTACCCAAATGTGTAATCAAATCAAAATTACACAGCTTTATTTTGGTGGATGAAAATGATCTGTCTGGATGCATCAGTTGTGCCCCCTTCTTTAAATGAGCATATTTGTATTGTGAAACACTGTGCTAAGCGCAGTGCTTATATGTCTGCCCGCTGTAGGAAAGAAAGATGATTTATGAAGTGCTCCGAGTATAATAATGAGCTTTGAATATACCATGCTACCCAAGTGTGGTAGGAGCTACTACTTGGGGCTTGACAGTAAATTTTAGACAAAACTTCTGCAAGTCCTTGCAAATAAGCTCAGGAAAACCTCTAGTTACTAAAATTTTCCATTACATGAGCTTTGTTTTTACATATGCTTGAAAGGGTGGCTGCACTGTGCATTGTACGATCACTTAAATACAGGCAGACTTGGCAGCCTTTATTCACACAACCTTCACCCCTCCTTCCCCTCCCCCCTCCAAAACTGTCCAGCACCTCCTCAGAGAGGTGATTTCATGGACTTCAGTCTCTGCCCTCTAGGGTCATGTCTGGACCTGTGCAGTTAGAACTTGGGCCTGTTGGGAGAAGGGACTGAGGCCTGAAACCAGTTTATATGAAAGAGAGCTGCTTCTGTAGCAGCATTTTTTTAAACAGGCTTGCTATGTGCTGGTAGCTTCTTTGTGCATCTTGCCTAGACATTTAAAACAGTTTCAGCCCCCCCAAAAACACTCCCCCAAAACTACTCAATTGGATAACACTCCAGAAAATAGTCTCCCACTTCCCATTCTCCACATCACCTGAGCTGTGGGGGAAAGGTACCAGAGTCTGTTTCTTGTTACTGAACAACATCTCTGCTTGTTTTGGGGCCCTGAGTTTGCTGCTTCTTAAAATAAGTCACTTAACTGGCAAACTTCTGGACGACTTCCTCCAAGATCCTGGAAAGTGAAGGCTTCTACCTAAATAACATAAAACAGGGGCGCGCGCCTTTTGGCTGAGTCACCAGGGCTTTCCCTCTTCCTAATGGAACATTGGTTTCAAAAAAGCTTCTTCCAGGTAAGTTCTGAGTCCCATAATGACTTCTTTGTGATAATTCCCTGGAGTGAGGTCCTGTCTCTGCACTGATTATTTTTTTTTTAACTTATTATTTATTTTTTGTTCAGTCTATTAAACTAAAAACATTGAATTTCCTTTGTTTTGTTTTCTTTAACAGAAGCTTTGATATCAGCTGCAGATCATTCTCAGTGCAGGGGCGGGGGCACATCTACACTGGTGGTCGAAGCAGCTCTCTAGACTAGCATGTTTGCTAGTTTATGTCCCTCCTGATTAAAAATCAGAGACTCTCTGTGCCATAGGGTGTTCTGATGGTCTGCCAAAGGGCATGTTTCCCAGGTAGCTGTCAAAAGTGATCTACAGTTTCAATTGATCCTGCTTTGTTATCTTCTAAAAGCGCAGGAAGATTGGGACTGTGCACAAGCACCTCGGAGCATGCTAGACTGGAGAAGCCAGATCTTGTCCTTGCGCTGGTTTCTCTTCAGGCAGCCGTGTGCTCTACCAGGACCACTTCCTAGCTGGAGAACACCCTTCCATTTTTCCTTTTCCTGCCTGTGCCTTCTCCCCACTCCTTCCCAGTGAAGTCAGTGCTGTCTACACTGGTAGCTGCAGTTCCTTGTGCTTTCTGCCAGGAAAGCACGTCTTTGTATCCTCTGTGGTATTTCAACTTGCTTTGCTGCTCATGGATGTGCAAACTGCCTAAGGATCCTGTAGCCTGCTGCTTGTCAGGCTGCGTACACCCTGGCTGTGAAGATGCAATCTGTCATACGTACCTCTCTATTTCACTTCCCCTTTTTAAAACAACCTGTCGTACCCAGGACCCTAGCTGGAGACTCGCGCAGCCCCCTGTGAAACCTGCCTTCTCACTCCCTGTTTTTGGTGTGATTCAGGACTTTGGAGTCAGCAAAGACTGAGGAGCCCCCCCTTTGCTGTAATAAGAAACAGACATAAAGTCCCCCTCTTGCCACTACAACCCTCTTGTTTTTATTTTTCTACATCCCCTTTGAAATTGATGCAGTCTGGGCAATAGATGCAGCTGACCCTTTGGATGTAATTTTTGTATTTTCATTTTTTTGACAATCGCCCCAAAGAACCCCTCATAGGGGGGCAAAAAGCGTTGGAGGACCTGAAACTTTTACCTGAACCCGGGTTCTCCGGCGCTTCCCAACCAAATGGGGCTACAGAGAAGCGTCTAAGCCAGTTCACAGAGCGAGCGTGTGTGGGGACTTCTCGCTGCCACGGACCCTTGATGCATGCTCCCCGCGCTCCAGTGGTCCCGTGTCAGAGGGCGGAGTTTTCGAAAGGAGGCCGCCAAAAATAAAAGGCAAAGAGACGGGATCGGCTGCAGCGGTTTCCCACAGGAGGAGGGAGTGTGCATCGGTCTGGTAACAAACAGAGAATGTTTCTCTCTTTAAAAAAAAAAAATCACAAAAAATCTGTGTTTTATCTTGGATATTTTCAGAATATTCTTCTTAAAATGCAGATTTTTTTTTGTTAGGGCACTTACTGTAATACCATGCTTTTTTTAAAAAATATGGCATATTATAGCAAATAGGTGCTTTTGATATTTTAGGGTCTTTCACTGGTGTGTTACACTAACATTTGCTTTGTTTTGGTCCCATAAGTTTATGAAGTCTCACTTCAGAGACATGTTCTGATCTCTTCTAAATTTTAATATTTTCCACACTGAGCAGTTTTGAGCGTTTAATTTCCTACTTCTCTCTGATAGTGGAAGTAGGGAGTTGTTGATAGAATCCAGGATTGTCCAATGTACGAAAGTGTCCCAGCACTGGACTGACCAGCATGGTGAAGTGTTAGTGCAATGCATTCTTGTGATGATAAGGAAGCCAAGTTAAAGATCTTTGATCTGAAGAATTTTTAATAAGTTGGCTGAATAATACTACTGTAATTGAAATGTTGTAAACTTCAGGCTAGGAAAGTAGTGGAATTCTATAGGATTATAAAAGAATAGTAGAATTTTTAAAAGCTTGCATTTTATTTTATGCTATGAAGTGCAAGGTAAGTGATCTCATCACTGTTGTTATTTGCTAGACTTCTCCCAACAGAGTAAAAGCTCTTCTTAAGGCAGTTCTACCTTCTTCCACCCCAGTTTGCTGTGTCTGATGGTGGCATTTTCACTTTTGAGATTGTGTTTTGAAAAAGAGAACTAAATTCAATTAACTAATTCATAAACACTGGTGTCTTTTACAAATGGAAGACAGAGAAATGCATTCCGGGGAGGATGAATCTCAATGCAGGAAAAAAAAACTGCTTTATAATTGCCACTGGTTTTCAGGAGTGATCTTTGTTCCTGATTATCTTAAATTTCAGTCTTCTACTCTTTTGGGATGAGTCTGTCTTGTGTTTATTCCATGCAATTACTAACTTTGTGTTTTTTTCTTATTACTGTCACCTGCATTCGTGCTCCCCACCTTTCGTTGGCACGTCCTCTCTTCTTCTCCCTTTTCCTGAACCCCACCCCTTCACTGTGCTTCGCACCTGGGCACCTCCCAAGATGTGGAAGATGTAAAATTTGTGATAAACTACGACTATCCGAACAGCTCCGAAGATTACGTGCACCGTATTGGCCGTACCGCACGTAGTACCAACAAGGGTACTGCCTACACCTTCTTCACACCCGGCAACCTGAAACAGGCCAGGGAGCTTATCAAAGTGTTGGAAGAAGCCAATCAAGCCATCAATCCGAAACTGATGCAGCTTGTGGACCACAGAGGAGGTGGAGGTGGTGGTGGAGGTAAAGGCACATGGGCACAGGGAGTAGGCTTCCTATTTTGAGGGAGGGAGGATTGAAAGAGGATAAGGAAATGGTCTCAATATGCCCAAGTCTAAGGTAATAGTAGATTAGTAGAAAAGCTTTTTTTCCCGAGATCTCAAAACCCTACATAAATGTAGTATTTGTGTCTACCTGAGAAGATAAATAACTCTTATCTTAGATGTTTTTTTTTTCTGATCAGCTCTTCACGAAGCTGATTTTGCTCGAGTTATTGCTTGCAGCTCCTGCCTGAACACAGGCAAGAGGATGTGTGTGCATGCACAAGCAAAACAAAAGTCCGTGAGGTGATACTCAATTGAATTTAGGAGGCTGAGACTATTTTTCTCCTACTTCCCTCATGGCACAATAAGCTTTGATATGCTTTTGAGTTAGTACTGGCGTTTTTTCCCTGTTCCTTTGTTGCTGAGTGTTTGCATTAAGAATATTCCCTGAACTCGCTATCTACACCTTGAATAAAAGGAAGAGATGTATATGCTCAGCTGTGCAGGGAAGTTAGAGCCAGGCAGAAGAACTTGCCCCTCATGGGCAAAACTGTAGATGCAGAGAATAGATGGGTGAAAGAGGTTAGCACAGTTATGGGAGTTCGTTGTTTGAGACTTGTTTCATAGTAGTAAATGTTGATGTATCCATCGCCAGGAGGTCGTTCTCGTTACCGTACAAGCAGTTCAGTAAACAACCCTAACCTGATGTACCAGGAGGAGTGTGACAGGAGGCTCCGGGGAGTGAAGGAAGGCCGGAGAGACTCAGGTGGCTTCAGAGACCGTGAGCGTGGTGACAGTTTTGCCAACGGAGCCAACAAGACCTATGGCAGTGCCTATGGGAGCCCAAATTCTGCTTTTGGGGCAGCACAGAGCCAGTATGGCTACACCCAAGGGAGCTATGGAGCAGCTGCCTATGGCACGAGTGGCTATGGCACTGCAGAGTACAGTGCCAGTGGCTACGGTGCCAGCAGCACA